ATTCCGGGCATGACCCTCCACTGAAGATGGGTACAATAACGAAGCGGCTCCAGATGGTTGTGGGAGTTTCTGCTCCCCGATTTCATTAATAACATGTGCAAATCATCCACAAGAACAGGTCCCCGAGTGTGAAGAGGGTTGGATGAAGATCATCTGGTTCCGTAGCTTCATACGACTTCAGCAACCTGATCTCACGTTCGAATTCTGAGCGATCGGGTGAATCCAAAGGGACAGCCTAGGGAGCAAGGTGATAACGGACCGGCGAGAAATCTGACAATTCCGGCCGCTTAAATTACCTCTCAAAGTGCGCAGTCAAACGCTCCAAGCATTTTGACAAGTTGTGGAATCGAACTATTCCGTCAATATGGTTAACCCGTGGAGTAGAACTCACTCACATTGGCTGAAAACCAGACGCGGAGTAGTGAGCGAACTGGACCTCCTAAATTAGCATGCTTCGGTTACCAATAAATGGAGTTAAGGGGAGGGTCTAAGCTGAAAAAATCAAAAATTGTGTTTTTCAAAGCTGGATATATATGTCTAGATATAGTCAGATCTTCATGAAATTTTGCAGGGAATTTCATTATTTATCATACAAATAATATATGAGAGAGAAATAAAGATAAGTGTGTTTATTATTTTTTATTCACATTTTAGTAAAGTAACTAAATTAGTGATGCCGAATTGGTTGTTGTGCCGTTCTGGGTCCTATCAAAAAAGTATTCTATGTATAGAGCTAAAATTTTGTGCAGTTATTTAGATATAGTTCAGCTTTAGAACAAACTATACTCAACTGTGTATCTGAATTAGATCTTCCAATAATGATGTTCAGATTTGCATAAAAATCTGAACTGAGGTTAAAAGTGGACCACAAGTGTAGGACAATTAAAATTAGTTTATTCCATGCAGAAACTAAAGAAGAGCATCCCCTCCAAATTTTATTGACTTTGGACCATTAGTTTTGAAATTATCCTCAGAACGCTGACGTAAGAGTGAAAAAACGCAGTTTTGAGAAAAATAGCTTTAAAGTTGAAGTACAAGAAAAAATGAAAGTCATTTAAACTTTTCTGGCATATCGGTAATTTATACAAATTTTGGTGATGTCCCGTGATATGATTTACGTGGGAAAACTAACCTGGACTACTCATGGGCACCAGCAAGATAGAAAGCTTCGATGTCTTCACACTCCCTTGAAGCCGCTACTTTCCGTGCTCGTCGTTCAGATGACAGAAGTCCGGCAGCTGCTGCATGAATTCTTGTTCTGTCTAGTTCATCACAACACAGTCTAGTACACATTCCAGTAGACATCCGCAACTTTTCAAATATAGGCAGCCTACCCCTCTCTCCATCATTGAAAACCACTTCAGCATCAGCAACTGCAAGAGTAAGCCTTTGCCTTCCAACAAAACCAACCTTTGGACACCTTTGCCAAATTAAATTGTGAAAACTTTCATTTGTATTTTGTGTTCCTCCATGGGCACACTTTGACAGTAATATCTCACTGGCAAGAGTTTCAAAAACAGGCCTGATAGCCTTGTACATATACGGAGGGAGAGCAATCCTGTCAGAGTCTCCAGTTGGCTGCTTCTTGGAAGGACACCAGTCTCCACAGTTAATGTGATCATGGTTGCGGTGCTCCCATATGGCCCATATATCTTTTTGTATCTGAGGCACATTATTAGTAGTTCTTCTTGTTGCAGCCACATAATGTCCTTGAACGTTTAACATTGCCTTCTTTGTCAGACAACTTCGCCCACCGATTCCTAGCTTAGGGGCAGCAGTCACAACTAACATCTCAATGGTCCCGGGTTCGATGCCTGCTATCTCTATCTGATGAGAGGAAATAACCTCGAAACGCGTCATGGAGTGCAGTGGTTTTAGGCGGGCAACACCCAATTTGCTGCTGCTTCATCAGCTACGGTCCTAGTGATCGAATGGCCAAGGTTCACTTCAATGGGAATCGCGATCTACTTTGAGATTGCGCGTCGCGATCCATCCACACAACGTGTACTTCAAATTCACTTTCCAATCTGTTATTTGCCGTTGTGCCAAGCTTTGCCCGTCGTGACCCGGTGGCTTAGGGGTGGCGGTTACAACTAACATCTCAATGGCCCCGGCTTCGATGCCTGCTATCTCTATCTGATGAGAGGAAATAACCTCGAAACGCGTCATGGAGTGCAGTGGTTTTAGGCGGGCAACACCCAATTTGCTGCTGCTTCATCAGCTACGGTCCTAGTGATCGAATGGCCAAGGTTCACTTCAATGGGAATCGCGGTCTACTTTGAGATTGCGCGTCGCGATCCATCCACACAACGTGTACTTCAAATTCACTTTCCAATCTGTTATTTGCCGTTGTGCCAAGCTTTGCCCGTCGTGACCCGGTGGCTTAGGGGTGGCGGTCACAACTAACATCTCAATGGTCCCGGGTTCGATGCCTGCTATCTCTATCTGATGAGAGGAAATAACCTCGAAACGCGATATGGAGTGCAGTGGTTTCAGGCGGGCAACACCCAATTTGCTGCTGCTTCATCAGCTACGGTCCTAGTGATCGAATGGCCAAGGTTCACTTCAATGGGAATCGCGGTCTACTTTGAGATTGCGCGTCGCAATCCATCCACACAACGTGTACTTCAAAATGACCCTAAACATCTTGCCATTGTGTATAAAGATATCTTTTTTCAGCTCAGTTACCTTATTGGTCAGGTGTCGCCCCATTCTCTTCGGCACGTACCCACAACACTGAAGTTTGGAAATGTTCACATCATTATACACAGGTGGTTCTGCATTTGATACTGATGCGTAAGATTTACTGTCACCATCTCCAAGAAAAGAAACATAGTGCAGTCCATGTAATTGCTCACTTCGGCGAAATATTTCTAGTGCTCCAGCTGGTTCCATGCTGCCTGCCGACGCACTGTGATTCTTGTCGCAGTCTTGTACATGTGAACATTTCCATGCCAGAAACACTGTCTCAGTTTTATTCCTCTGGCTTTTTGCACAAGCGTTGCAGTAGTTTGACAAAACGGAGGTGTCGAGAACTTTCGAGTTATGGCCATCCACTGTGAGAACTGTGACCACACCATTTTTGCTCTGGAACCCCCTTCTCTGTCAAGTGCCATCACAAGAGACTGTTATATTTTCTCCTTTCTTTTCCGTGATCTCATCTGCAGCTCTCTGCATACTTTCTAGGGCAATGGCCTGTGTAGCATGAAGAAGCTTCTTATGAAGAGACCAAGTGCTTTTATGCATATTTGAAGGCATGTTCATATTTCCAAGAAATTTCTCTCACTTTAAGAACCAATGAAAATGGTTCTTTTAAACTGCATGGTAATGCGGAATTACCAGATAGGCGTTGCAAAGCCGAATCGAATGCAACTTGAATGAAGTTTCTAGGACGTATACAAGGCGAGATGCAACATTTTAAAATTTACGCATATATAATGAGCTTGAATACATAGAAAAACAAGTCACACATGCTTCACAAAAGATGCTAACAGGAAAATGGTTCGCAGATTTATATTCTAGGATGACTGCAGTTGACATTTGTATGGTTTTCCAAAATGGTCAAAAATTACGATTTTTCAGCTTAGATCCTCACCTTAACCGATCCTGTAGAGAGACACTCTCTGTCTACCGAATTCTAGACTTTTGTATTCCTTCGGTTGGCTGAGCGCGTGACTGAGAAGTCAGATAGTCGCAGTCTCATAGGGCAGCTAACAGCAGTACAACAGTTGTCAGTGGCAGAGAGCAGAGAGAAAGTAGAACCGTTACAACAACGTGTGAGTTGAAACTAGAACATAAACGCCCATAGTGAGGAGGGCGAAGAATTGGGGGGGGGGGTTGAAAACGGGGGGACAAAAGTGAAGTTAAAAAGGGAAGATAAGGGTGAAAAGCGTAAGAGAGCGAATAAGAAGATGGGAAGACTTGAGCAGCAGCCAAAACCCCTATCCAACCTGCTCGATACAGCAGATAGGACGTCCTCTACGAGCCAGAACATCAAGAAATTGTTTCTGGAGTGGTTCATAGTAATGCGTTGGCAGAATACTGCCAGGTTGCTCAGACATAGACGGAAGAACGACTATGGTTCTCAAGCAAAGCCTCTGGTTCAAAAACCTGTCCGCAGGGCAGCGGGTTTGGCACTGGGCTAAAAGGAATCTGTTTTAAGGAATAAGGAGCCAGCCTCACCCCAATCCGGAAAATTAGAAGGTTGTTTGCCTGGCCTCTAGTCATTGATCAATTTTGTATGAGTGACTCTGAGGATGCAAGAAGCACCACCCAGCACAGCCGAATGGATTGCTGAGGCACGCAACCATCGCACCACGGTAAGGTCCAGTCTTACTGCGATGAATTTCCCAGTCTGACTGCCTGTTTAATATGTCTGTTGTGGTTTGTGGGGTAATGGTTGGTTATGAGACGGGGCAGTGAAGGTCGAAAAGAAGTTGTCCCGCCGATGCCGCCTTGTCTTTGCACGACAGTCACCTGTTTGTGACGGCATGTTGTCTATGCAAGGTGTAGGCGCCTTGACCCGGAATGTTTGTTTAGGGCACTAAGGTTCCCCTTTATCTCCATCTTAATATTCTTTGTTCCGTAATTCGCTGTGATTATACGGCAGTGAAGCATCAGTTCAAATAGCTGATGTGTTGCTCTTGATGATGATGAAGCCTAAGCGCACCGCATCGGCAATCAATGGATACCGTTATGATCCTGGGATGATTTCACACCGATAGCCGACAGACCTTCTGAGAGTGCAGACGGGCTCCAAAGCAACCTTGATTATCATTTGAACGCCTCTACCCGTTCTACTGCGAGTTTACACTGGACATGAGGTGCGTGGTGGTGCAGCGAAAGCTACTCATTGATACTATGTAGGTGTACGCAGCCACCGGGTGTTCGCTGTCAGTAGAACACGTAAATTTGAAAACAGATGTCACCAAGCATGATTTGTTGGAGGGCAAGGTGATATACAACTTCGTCTCATTAAACTAACATGCGTTTCAACTCACCCTACGTTGTTTTCGCTTAAACTCGTGTGGATCCCGACCTTGTGGGGCAAATTGGTTTGGATTGTCTATGGGCACCGCAACACCGCCAGTGCGTCGCTTGGCGTTGTCCTCTATATCCTCAGTCCAGTGGGCGATCATCTTCGGATTCGGTGTGCCGACTTCCGGAATGTCTTTGCGGGCGTATGTGTTCGGGGTGTTCAACCAATGGGTACTTGAAAGAGACATTGTTTTGGCACGAGCCTCAGCAGCGGCAGCAGCCCTATAAGAGTACAGGCGGGGTAAGCAGTGATTGGGGTAAGAAGACCAAATTACGATAGCCACCGGAACGACCGAGCATAGCAACTCAGATATCGAGGGGAAGTAACAACCCACACGCGGATATAATTTAAATGTTGTAAAAAAACATACAAAATAGTGGATACATGAAGACCGCCAAATGAGTGGTTAGTGCCTCAAACACCATGACGGGTACGATATGGTCTCAGTCACAGAATGTCGACTGTGTGTGTGAGAGAATGTGCGGGCAAATACTAGTAACCTGGGATAATGCAGGCGGTTAAAAAAGTTGCGCACTGTCTTCAGCACATAGTGCAAAAGTTTAAGGAACGGAACTTATGCCGTGTCTAGACGTAAGCGGAATAAACAGACTTCAGCAGAAGTCAGCCTGAACTCACAGAATACCAAAAAAGGCGGTATCGTCACTGATGAAATCATACCACTGTACCAGTCGGTGTTATTAACATGGCCCAGTACAGAGGCTGGGTCTCATAAAAAGTGACACCATGACGGTGTCCCTACGAAGACCGTATTATTTGAGCAACCTAGAAGACAGAGTGCAAACGTATCTACGGCAAGCTAAGGAATTTACAGTAATAACTTCCAAACAGAAGTGCATGGATTCATTTCGATCATGTTGTCAGAAATGGGTGAAAAACATGGGACTAGATCGGAAGACGGTTTGTAAGTTTTGACTCCATTCGCAAAGAAGGGAAACAAATAGAGAACCCTGCAACCCAATCGGTAAACGTATCAACAGTACAGGCTCAGCTAACCAATGCTCAGAAAGCACTTACCGAGATTCATCGTCCCCGTAGTAGGTGGAAGCGAAAGAAGATGCGGCTGGAGGAACTTCCACATCTTTAATTCCGCGCAATCCCTTTCCTAAACTGGCTGACTTCCTCACATACGCAGCGGCCTCGCGAGGAGTCATGGGTTCCGTAGAAGGTGCTCCATTCACGACATCCTCTGGGGGACGACGAACTGCTCCAGAAGTGGTGTGAAGTTGACCAAGTCGGTATACGTGCCCAGTGTGGTATCCGGCTGCATCTAAGCGACGCATCAGCGCTTCGAATTCCAACTCCCCAAGCCTCCAACCAGAGCTGCCTGCACTCTCTCCCGGACGCAGTTGTGCTGCTGCTGGGGTCCGACCTGCATGATGTGCAACTTGTTGCGCTTCTTTAGCCGGTAGAATAAGTTCGTTCTCACTGATACCAGCCAGCCGTAACTACCAATCAGTGCAAAGAAACATTCATGAATAATCAGAAAGATGGACGTGTTTTGTGATGCGAGAAGAGGCGATGTCAAGAAAATGTAGAAAAGTTGAGTGAGATGAGGCCTTAGCCGAAGCCGGCTACTGTGAGCATTGAGCCATCATCAAGCCTATTCACTAACACAAATACCATCCTGTGTTAAGAGCACAGTTCGCAAATGCATCAGAGAAGTGAACATGGCGCGTATGGCGAAGTTCGCTGTTGAACAGCGTGTTACGTGCGGTGGTATAAAATTGCGGCGAGCAGATCACCGCGATTTAGCAGAAAAGGCGTGTTCAAGCCAATTACATACGAGTCCCAGTGGATATCAACTATTGGATTTCATTGCTACTGAACGTCGTTCTTGTAAAATGACTGTACAGTTTAGATCCGAAGGAGGATAGTGAGTCGTCTGCTTATCGATAGTCTTTCGGGGACGGAAATATTCTTGATCAAAACACGGTTGGCAAGCATTGTCACTCCGCGGATTCTTTGTAACAGAGGCTTACCAGTGATTCAGATCTACTCAAACAGTGAAGCAGCAGTGTTGCATAGTCATGGGACTGTGACTAATCCATCCACAATATCGATGCAAGGCAGAAGTCACCTGTCTGGCTGACTGGATCCAGCTGATGGACACATCCTGATATCGTCCGACAGTGCTTCACGGAATATCCATGAGCCACTCTAGTGGGTGAACAAAAGCGATGGGTATGTACGTCTGGAGACCATCGTATGAGATGTCCCAAGAAAAATTGTATGAGAACAAGGAGCTCTGTCCGCACAAGATCCAGAGTAATTAGTTGTTAGTTCGTCGCCGCAGCTTCCATAACAGATAGTCCTCCAGACACTGGAAAAAGCACTAGAGTTTTGAGATTTTGGGCCCCGTCAGTAATGCGCATCCATCGGGCCCCTCAGAATTCGTACTATCATCATCATCATCATTATACACGTTAGCTAGTGCAAAAGGCCTCAGCTACTGTGCCGGAATACATAAAGGAAAAATGAAAATAAATACAACAGTTGCATGTCAGCTGAGCTACCAGCAATGGATGGGTGTCGTTCCGGAAAGCTAACACATCAGGTTACGCCACTGAGCGATGGGGTCAGCGGTACATCGTCATGCTTTACAATGTACCTGAGTCCAGGCCATCGAAACTGCTTGGCGTGCACCAGTGTCGACTAGTTTGGCACCAGCATGAAATTTGTACCAACTGAGATAACTGGAGATCTGCTGTAGATGAGACAATCAACCCATTGTTTGAACACAACTAAAAAGTGGTAGTAAATTGCTTTAATATCAGGCAATGGTCGATTGTTTGCTCAACTAACTAAAGGGAACCGATAAGTGCAGGGAACATTGTGAAAACGGATGCTGAAATAAATGCAGTATCAAATATGGGGGAAAATACCCGGTAAGGAAAACAACCCGATGTCCTCAAGAGAAATGTGTTCATTACACCGTCTTTCATAGGGAACAAAGTAGCCAAATCCTTTAGCAATGACTACGCCAAGTCATAAAGTGGTACCATTACGTAACCGACCTAGTGTTACTGCATGAATCCATCGTAGACAAAGCTCTCTCTCAAATTACCGCTCTCCAGTTCAGTTGTACCTGTGGCAGTGCGCACACTGACACGGCTGAGAAGCTGCTAGTCAAGATTACGGAGCAAGTCCCCCGGCGATTGAATCCAAGCCAATGCAACTGAGCTGAGTTCGTAGTAAGCCTCGCCAAAGCTCAATGTTGAGCTGATTATGACACTGCAGGCGATAATTACAAGTGTTATCATTTAAGTGAGATTACTCGTATGGCAACACTGCCATGGTTTATTCAAGTGGTCACACCAAAGAATACAACAGACTGAAAAGGCGTGAGATAGACGGGCCTCAGGCTATCCGGTGGAATGTTAATTCCTGCTATGCTAAAACCACAACGCGGCCTAGACAAAATACAGCAAATGTGATATTTCCGTTGGATAAGGTGGATGAGTAGTTGTAAGTACACAGTTTGGTACACCCCAATTATATAACCTTCGTATCAGTGGTCCACTGAATAGATTTCCAGTGAGCGTTGCTCCCAATTCCTGAAAACGGCGGTGTGGTCCACCGCCAAACTTGCGATCTCCGACCGCAAGGTTTTGAACCAAACACTTGGGTTGAGTACCCTAATCGTTCTTCGTTCTAGGCTTGGGGAAACCATGCAATACAATCTGCTTCAAATGACTTCTTGATAGGTTGCCCATGGCAAATAAAAAACTAACGACACCCTAGCTGCAACATCGAGCAAAGTGGATAAGAAGTGCCAGTGCTAGTGTTCAGGCCATCCCGCGTTCTTATTCCTCCTCTGAACAGGTGCGTGCCTATTACTCTGAGTTACTGGGCTGAGGTTGCTTCAAATGAACCGATTTGAATCAGTAGCTGCATGTGTGTCCAAAATGGCTGGCTCATACATGGGAGCGCGGGGAAATACATGCCTATTTGTCATCCCTACCTACTCCCCGACCAATTGTAGTATTGACTAGCTGGAGGCTGACTTATTTCGTCAACCAAATGTGCTCGTTCGTCACGGAGAAGTACGAATAGTGTAATACCGGCTGGTGTGCTCTGAACGCCCAAGTTGGAAAGATGTTCACGAATGAGCTGCATCTGGGAGGGCAACAGAGTGTAGGATCCCGTAATGATCACCATGTACGGTTGCTACACCTGTGTGAAGATGCTGGTCTCTTTCTCGCAAACAATAAATACGACATAGCACCCGTCGAAAGATAAGATTGAGCCCACCAGCCTCGAACCAGGCAAGGATGCAAATCGATCACGTAGTGATCAGTTATCAGTGGAGAGGCTGCATCCAAAACTGCGACTCGAAGTGGAACACGAGCGTGGACTCTGACCAGGCACTTGCATGTGCCGATCTCCAGGTACCTCTCGTGGACGCTCGCATAGATTTATCACCTGGTGAAGCCCGAAGTACTGAACGAGTAACAAAGTACGCTGGCATTCGGGTTGGGTAAGCAGCGCTCACTGAACACAGTAGATCACTGGTCGTCCTATATTCATAAGGCACTGGAAGCAGCCAGTGCCCTCATATAGCGAATCCACATACTCGCAGAGGCGATCGGTATCCAAGCTGTCTCTGGAAATTCTGGATGCTCCCCGACACATTCCGGATGGATGCGTATACAACGAGACTTGCAAAGATCTCAGAGCTAGTCCGAACAGCCGAGGTTTGTCGATATCATTGAGCGTAGGAGATGGGAGTGGCCACCACTCTTCTGCAAAAATAAATCACTGCTATCTTCCCGCGGCCTTGCGGACAGGCTTTTGAGCCAAAGGCTATGGATAACGACCCTAATCATCCTGCTGTCTAGCTCTGGGCGCCCTGACAGTATCCCAGCTCACATACAACCATGACATCTTCTTCAAACATAAATCTCATCTTACATCGGCCGTCGCGCAGATTATCAAGGGTCGCCTTATCTGCGGCATACAGCAGGACGGATAAGCGAAAACATGCTACTGCTGGCGCCTCCCTTCTTTCCTTTCCACCTTTTTCTCTTACTCCCATCCCGACCCCCATTACTAACCTTCCTCCCATAATTCCCAGCATAATTGACAGCAACCGAAGTGCCATTGGAGTAGAACCATCTGCAACCACCATCCCACAGCACCTATCGGACGCCTGTCGGCAAAAGTCCCTTATAAGACCAGGCTATCCCGTTTCCATGGCGACATTCAACGTTCGCACTCGAAGACAAACAGGCTGCACTCGCACGCACCTTGGACACACTGGGTATTGATGTGTGTTGTGTGTCCAAAACCAGGATCAAGTTCCTTAACGGGGTTGTTGAATTAACTGCACCCAGCTTATCCTCTCGTTATCGGTTGCACGCATCCGGAGACGCCGATGCAACACTCACGGGTCAAGTTGGTGTTGGTATCATTCTAAGCTCCAAGGCTGAGCCATCGGCGGTTGACTGGATTCCGGTGCACAGCCGTTTATGTGCAGCCCCTTTGACGACATCAGCTAAGGTGGATTCACGAAGCAATACAAAACGTTATTTGTATGTGATTTCCGTTTATGCTCCCATCGAATGCAAATCTAATGCTGTCAAGGACACATTCTATTACAAACTAAACGCGCTACTACGCAGTGCTACTAGTTCCGATATCATAGTACTTGCAAGGGATATGAACGCACAAGTAGGGCGTCTGAGCTCTTCAGAAGCTCAGCTGGTTGGTAATTATGGGCTTAACTCCAAAAGGAATGACAACGGCGAGCGTCTGCTGCAACTGTGTGCGGAGCACCAGTTGTTCCCTAGTAGCACTGCTTTTAGACACAGTGGGCGCCGAAATGCCACTTGGCGTCCTCCTGTAGATGGCCAGCGATGGACCCAAATTGACCACATAGCCATAAGTTACAGGTAGCGTGGTTAGATCCTAGATTGTCGCTCGTACTGGAATACCTGCGTCGACTTTGATCATGCCTTGGTAAGCTGTGGTTTCTCCATGAATTTGGCCGGGAGGCGCACCAAGCGTCCCCTCCGATTGGCAACTGAGAAATTGTCTCAGCCCTTGTCTCAGTCACCAAGCCTATCAAGACGCACTGCATACCGAACTGTCTGGTTCTAATGAGACTGAGCTTCAGTGGAATAGGATCTCGGCCGCCATGTACGATGCAGGAGCATCCGCTTGGGGCACTAGCAATCGTCACCGCACCAGTTACCTGATATCCAAGAGGTCGGTGAACCTGTTGGGATCTAGAAGAAACCTCCCGGCTGGCTGTGAGCACAATGTGACCAGACGGGCTATTGGGTGCGAACCAAAGCGGAGCTTACGTGCTGACAAGGAAGCATGGTGGACCAGTAGGGCTCAAGAAATGGAGGAGGCTGGAGCAGTAGGCAATTACCGGAAGCTCTTCCAGCTAACCCGCACCACTGGTCCCAGGAAACCAGGCGTCAATGAGACAACCAGATAC